GTAATATTTCGAAATCTGGATATATAACAAAAGACCCCGTAACTGTAGTTGTTACAAGGTGCACGATCTTATATATTTTATTAATACTAGAAAGTTAATCATATTATTAAATTATAAAAATAATTTTGTTGTAGCGTAAGCATGTGGCTGTTGCAAAATAACCATACGATTTATATTTTATTTATTAGTTACGAGCAAGAAATTAAAAAAAAAACTCTCAATTATCAGCAGTCTTCCCTATATTAATTTAAAAGGAAAGAAAGTGTAAGCACACGATGAAACTCAATCTTAAAATAATATGGAATATGTAGTCCAGTTATGATGTAGTTTCTCTGTAACATTTTAATAAAGTATATAATAACACAGAATTGCTTAAAAATTGAAATTATTCATCATGCTCTCTGACCACAAGAAAATCTAAACTGATATATAATGGATCTCCTAATAATCACATATAATTTAGCAATCACCTTCTTCACTCGATACATAAAACTTCACTTTATGCATCGATAGCATTCTGTAGGACTAGTTGAAGGACTAATTGTTTTTAAAGCTCTTTCGAAAATTGGAATTTCTTGCTTCATGACTTGAATAAATTTTCAGGATTCCCATTTGCGAATCGAAAATATAATATCTATCCTGCTGGATCTCTTTAATTTTCCTCTGATCCTGGAATGCTGGAGTACTTATACTTTCCGATAAACGATCAGAAATACATGATTTCTGGAAATGCAAACGATCTCGCAAGTTTGAATGTTTCTCAAAGTTTAACTGTTTGTTCGAAGCTACAAATCGCGAATATCCGGCAGTTATCGCTTTGAAGTTCCTTAAGTTTATGACTCGGCGTAAAATCGTAACACGGAGTTATCTGTATACCGAGCGCGCGCTTTTATGAAGGAATAACTGCCCGTGCCTCGGCGAATCAATACGTCGCAACCGCCCGGTAGATAAAGATGGTAAATGATGGCAGAAATAAATAACATCTCTGGAAAGATAAACTATAGTCGCGGAAACCTAGAAGCTTTATTTATTCCCTAACTCCTATAAATCTTCAGGTCTTTGCACATGTTATTTCAACTTGCTGATGAATTTCTAATTTCGTATAGGGGAGAGAATTTTTTAATTTTTAATTTACAGTTAATTCCTCCTCCTTGCCGAGCTCTGGAAATCAACTCAATCCTTTCTCGATCGTCTCATCATCCCCGGAAATCTCTGCGATTAATTAAATAATTTCCGCAATTTCCAATAATCTTCAGAGTTGTGTTCAGCATTTTCTCACGTACCGCAGTTTGCAATTCTCTAATGAATCTCCTAATCTTGAATTTATATATCTGAAGATTTTTCTAGATCTTTACATCACTTGCAAATATTTCGTGCTTCTTATGTTTTAAGCAAGTATCTCGGGATTCTGTGGTAACCACAAGTCGACCGACTCGCGAAGTAACCCGACGGATTATTTCGATCTCAGTGGCTGATACTGGTACCCGTGATTGTAGCTTGGTGGTTTTATTGCGGGAAGCAGGCACAAATCGCCGTAGGGGCTTGGCAAGCCCTTTCTTCCTTCCTCTTCGTTCTCTCTTCCCTTTCCTTTCTTTCCATTTCGCTGCCCCTCGTTGCCAACCCTCTTTATTTCCCCTCTACCTCTTCTCAACGATTTTATCGTCCTATGCCACTTCCAGCGAAAGAGGATTGAGATTATCTGGAACCGGCACGGCATAGTCACGTACGACGCTCTTCTATCTGTTAATTATCTTTTAATTATCTTGTTTATCTTGGCGGCGACAACGCCCTTGCTTTCCACCGAGCAGGGTCAGCGAGATTTCCCCCTTAAAATTACCCAGCAATGTCCACGACAAAAATGAATATGCATCGATCTGTGTACGATGTTTGTTACCTGCCATGTAAACGTCGCCCAGAATGTTAACCGATCGATAAGATATCAGCTAGCTTCGAAACACATACTCAAACATGAAAAGTTTATGTACATCTACTATGGACAAAAGTAAAAATGGAAGAACAATAATCAAATGTGAAAGGCTCTGAGAATAAATCAATAAAAAGAAAACATAAAATCGCTCGGTCACTTCAAAAGTGACATAAAAAAAATTAAATTTTTCAAAATAGGGGAAAACTGTTTTTCAGCTTAACAGAATATTATTGACTAGTCAAATGTATCGACAAAAAGAGGATATATATGTACTCCTAGAAACATAATCAAATGTCATTCCTATCATTTTCGTTCCACGATCCTTAAAAAACCATTCTTTTTGACTGGCAGTTTAAATATCTTTAAAACAAAATTATAACAAATTTGGAACAACACTCGACAAAAGTGATAATTCCAAATATCATCAATAGTTTAGGTTTACCTTGATCAGCTAAAATGATTTTAAATTCAAAACAATTTCCTCTTTAACTCCATCAAAACTGTTTTAACTCTAAATTCTCTTTCTTTAAAAGACTCTCCTTTTTATTTACAAAAACAACATAAATCGAAATATTTTACTCTTGAAGGTATTATAATCTTTTTAAAAACCTTAAGTATAACACAAGTTTTATTTGACGAATAGAATGTGAAGTTAAGGATATTTTATACATATTTTCAAAACGATAACAAAAAATGTTTTCGAAAAAATTACAGATTATTCTAAACCACGTTTAAAAATAATACAAATTTGGTGACAGTTTACTATCTGGATTATAAGTTATATTTAATAAATAGTAACATTTTTTTAATCTATGTTAAATAATAAAAGTATATGCAAATGTATTATGAAATAAATGATAAAATTTTCAATTTTTTAATATAAGTACATTACGTATTCGAAATTATTTATGTAAAGTTATGCGATACATGAACTAGTTGTCCAGTAAATAAACAAAATATTTATTTGTTCTGTATCTTTGTAACTAACCAGTGAATCGCAATGAAACTTTGCATAAATTATTTTGAATATTTAAAACTTACTATAAAAAAAATGTAAATTTTTTCATTATTGAGAAA